ATGTTACACAGATAATGTGATTACTACTTAGAGGGCAACACACAAGAAGAGTCAATGTCATGTTGCTGCAGGAGACGCTGAGCTTCTCTCCTTACTCCTCGTAGGAGGAAAGGATGGGTTAATGGTGTCACAGGTTAAATTCTGCTGACAGAGACAGCAAAGTAATATATTCTGAAACTTGACCCACAAACAGTGGAGGTCACCATGAACAACGGTGAGGTGAAATATATGTGTCACCTCTAAAGGATTAAAAAATAATAATATTTGAAATTTGCAAGTTTTCAGTGCCGTAGTGAAAAATTGGTAAAATTTGCCTTAGATTTTTTCAAAGATTCTGCAGAAGAATCTTTTGAAACTTGACACACAAACAGTGGGGGTCACCGTGAGCCAGGGTGAGGTGAAATATCTGTGTCATCTCTCAAGGATTTAAAAAATATTCTATTTGAAATGAACAAGTTTTAAGTGCTGTAGTAAAAAGGTTTCGGAAACTGCTTTAAACTTTCTCAGGTGCGTCTCTCATTCCTGCTTGATATATTATTGCTGGTGAAGTTCAAGTCCAGAAAGACCATCAGGCCACTGGTCCGCCTCTGGTCTCCTCCTCCTCGTAATAAAGCAGAAATGTGAGACCAAACTATTTTAAATTACCTCTGACACCTTCGTCTCACACAGAGCATCCCACCAACGTTCAGCCATTAAATTTTTCCAAGAAGCTTATTTGAGGAACATTGAGGTTTATGGTATTTGCACAGCACAGAGCATGAGAGAGCCATTTGTGTTTTATTCAATCTACTTAGCTGACGGCGGTTGTAAAGGCTGGAAGCCTCGCTGAGTGGAAGCGATATTGATGACAATGTCGTAAATAAAAGTGCTGATGGCAGGATATTGATGGGGACACAGGATGGGTACCGCTGAGTGTGAGGCGAGGTGACGTAACCTCACTGCTGCTCCTCCTGCAGCTCACCAAACTTCTCGTGTGAAGAAGCCTCCATTTCACTTTCACACTAATACATTACAGCAACACTTGGTTGTCTTCAAAATCGTTTTGATAGAACACAAATTTAGGGAGAATGGCATGTCTGTTGTCGCTGCAGCGCTCCCTGGCCTGGAACTGCACTACACTGCACTAAGAATTTCACACGTTAGTGAGAGCCACAAGAAGCCAAAGGACGCGAACAGATGTTGACCTGGCATTTTTCGTGTTTGCTACGTCTTCTATTTTTCGTCTACGTCTTTGTGTTCTATTCTGCTCTCTTGGCGTTGGGCTGCGTGAAGTTGGTAAACCCATTTCGATAGAGGCTCAGCTAAGGTAAACAAACAATGTGATCCGCTCTGATGCACATCCTGCTCAGACTTCGATAACTGCATCAACTGTTTGCTCGCTGTGTTAGCTTGTATGCTACTGTTCTACTCTGGGTTGAGTGCAGTGAATGTGCAAACGTGCAGACCCCCAAAACACCG